GAGAGAGAGAGAGAGAGAGAGAGAGAGAGAGAGGGAGGCATGAAAAGGAACCAACAACAAAGCAGCGCATATCCGCTCGCTTGTGTTGTTTTTGTTTGGGTGTCCGCCTTGTTACATACATTGATGCTCTTCTGATTTGACAAACCCCCTGGTTCATTCACACAACGACGACGACATGAGTGGCAGTGTTCGTGGCGGCACTGCGGTACTGCTGCACCACGACTGCCATGCCTCATCCTGACTACGACGTGCCTTGCTTGCGCGCATGATGCATACCACCACCAGCTCCAAAGGCTCACACCTCAAGGGTCATCGCGTATGTGGGTGTGCTTGCTTGCAGCACTTGCTGGCGCCTCGCCTCTGGCACGTGGAGCCGCTCGAGGTCGCAGACATGCGGCTGGTCATCTGCTTCAGTGCCGGCTTTGCCAACGACCACGTTAGTGCACGCACGTGTCATGGAGGGGTGAAGGCGAGTGGGATTGGCATTTGGCGGTGATGGCAGTGCGCTGGCGTGAACACGAACACTGGCCTTCCTCTCCTCAATTGCTATCTGCAGCTGATGAGATTCACACATGCGCGTATGGAACGCCACAGGTTATGTATGATTCAAACTTGCACGGGCCACAAGCCCGGCGACCTGCTTCAACTACGGTGTGTGTGTGTGTGTGTGTGTGTGTGTGTGTGTGTGTGTGTGTGTGTGTGTGTGTGTGTGTGTGTGTGTGTGTGTGTGTGTGTGTGTGTGTGTGTGCTTCTCTTGACGCTGGTGTGCCGCATCTGTCGTCTCGCGTGAATGCATGCTTGGGTATCGTGTGTCGAGAGCAATCACAACATCACTCAGCCTCATCTTCATGCTCTCTTTCTTTTTGAGCACAGTTGAAGCCCGCGGGTCCAAACGACAGCGAACTGCTGCGACGCATGCTCTTTGGGTCAGCGCCCATGGCTGTCGTTGCTGACAGCACCAAACTGCACGAGATGGCAGACGGCAAACAGTTTATGGTCTCCAGGCTCTGGCCCGATGAGCTGTGCGTATCTCGTTTTGCTCATCATGCGTTGATGCGCATGCGTGTCTGTGTGTTGATGTGGGTCAGTGCGCGTTTGTAGCAACTGCTGCTCCACGTTCATGCCCGCCTGTTTTCCGTCACACACACACACACACACACACACACACACACACACACACACACACACACACACACACACACACACACTCACACTGACACACACACATACACACACACTTACGCACACGCACTTACACACACACACACACACTTACACACACACTCACACTTACACACTTACACACACACTGACACACACTTACGCACGCGCGCTCTCTCAACGTTGCATGCCGTTCTGCTGTCGCATGTCTGTGCATGAAGCATTGAGCCACTGCTGCAAGGCACGACAACGCCACGGCGTTCTTCCCAAGCAGCCGTGACACCGATCGCGGCCACCCCGCCAAAGGTTGTGAAGCGGCCATCATCGTCACAGCTCAAGCAGCGCACGTCATCCCAGCGACGCAGCACAGAGGGCTCAGAGGTTAGCCATCCATGGTGTGCGTGGAGTGATTCAAACAGATTGTCCTGCCGTCAACTGTTATTGGGGGCTTCTCTCTGCTGTCCAGGTGACACAATGTGTTGTCTTTCCATCACACACACGTACACACACACACACACACACACACACACACACACACACACACACACGCACACACACTTCTTGTCGTGCTGCTTTGCGTGTGTGTCTGCAGTTTGACTTTGCGTCTGTGCCGCGTGGTGTCGACTCGCCACTATCGCCACCATCCCGCCGCTCCCCATCCGTCTCTTCCCGCGGGTCATCCGCAGATGTGCGCTCAAACCTCAGCCACAGGTGCAATGACCCGCCCCCCCTTGCATGTCTGTGTATGTGAATGTGTATATGTGCAAGTGCGAGTATGTGTGTGTCTCGACTGATGTTACATCTGAGTCAAGACTTCGTCCACGTGCACACACACACACAACACACACGCACACACACAACACACGCATACACACACACACACACACACACACACACACACACACACACACACACACACACGTTGCCACAGGTCTCGCCGCCTGAATCGCAGCGTCCGAGCAAATATGGAGTTTGGTACGTCATACACACACACACACACACACACACACGCACATGCACGTGCATGCAGTGTGTGATTATGTTTGCTGTTGCGTTGCTCGCTGTCTTACAGCCAACCATACTCTCATCGTTGATGCGTGTGGGTGTACCTGTTCAGGCATAACGCATTCGTTGTCATCATCCAGCGTTTCAGGTGAGTCAAGCACCCACATCCATTGAGATTGCTGCGCGTCGCTGCACGCACACAGACACACACACACACACACACACAACGCACAACACACACACACACACACACACAACACACACACACACACACACACACACACACACACACACAACGCACACAACGCACACATACATACACACACACACAACA